TTTCAGTTATAACTTGACAAAAATTTTCAAAACACGTTTTCGTTGTTTTCAACCACAGCCAACCATCACCGCACTCGACCACCACTGGAATAAGATGACAAACTTTTTTTTTTAAATTTTTGTTTATGGTTTGATGAATGCTTTATTTTTCCTTTTTCAATATTTTAATAAAGATACGCTAGTCAAAGGAATTGATTAACAGAGAATTTGATATTCATTTGGATGAATAATTTTAAATTTCCAAAGTTGAGGCACAGGTTAAAAAATAAAATAAAAAATAAAGTTTGGGGATGAATTTGTAAATGATGTGAAAGATGAGGACCCCGATATATCACACCCATATATAAACGTCACTCTAACGTTCTCGTCACTCACTTTCAAGAGAACAACTCGCGCAAATTCATAACCTCGTATCCGTCTCGCTCTCCTGTGCTGCCATCGCCACCGCTGCTTTTCGCCGCCGGAATCTTTCCTTCAATTCGAGGTATGTATATCACTCCGATCACCGTTCACAGTTTAATCTTGTATAATTTTAAATGAATGTGTGTAGCTCCTGTGTCGGGTTATCTAAATTTAGCTTTTGAACCAGAGTTCTGTTTGATTTGCATGTTCTTCTCTTACCATTGAAAACGAAATGAAAAGAAGATTTTGATGTTGATTTTTCTTTTGGATTCTTAATTACAATTTATCACAGATGATTTTTTTTTTCTTTTTTAGTTTTCTGGTTCTGATATATGAATTATTTGTTTGTGAATTTCGGTTTTCATGTCACTTTAAGGAGTCTGGTTTCCTGAATATTTTGTGCATCTCTTTTGATTTCCAAATAATTCTTCTTTTTTATAAAAGCAATTTTATATTCTACTATCAGCTGTCCATGGTTTTCTTTGTCATTTATTTGTAATTTTTCTCCTTCTATTTTCAACTATATATTTCTAGGGCCTGTATATCTTGACAGCACTTCAATGTTTTGAAGGGTTTGTTATTTTGCTTTCACGGGCCTATACTAGGTTTGAAATTTTGCTAGACTATCATATTTGATTTTGTGGTAAAACGGAAAAGATTGCAATTGTATCCATGATTTTCCAGTAAGGTCAAGGAATTTAAGATAATGTAGAAACTAATAGAGACTGTTACTATTCATTCAAGGTGAGATTGCATATTATTTTTGCTTGAGTGCCTCCTTTACTTTAACGTTGGCTGCAAAATTGCATGTGATAGAGCAATTTATAGTTTTGTTGCTTAGGCGTGTTCATGTATTTTTTATGTTTTTTCTTTTTGCGAGTTAACTTAAATTTTTAATCTCTAATCACATAAAAAAAATTTGAACTGTCGTTCTTCCAAATTTTAGAATCAACATTATTGGAGGTCTTTCAAGGTAAATTAGTTATTGTCTGGATTTGGTGATTATGTTACTGAAACTTATCGAGTATGTTATCATTCTTTCTGTTTCAATATTATGTACCTGTGTAACATAGAGGCTCAAGGCCTATTTCAAGTTGTAAGAGCGAAGTCTAGATTGGCTAATGGACTGGATTCGAGCCTCCTTTGGGGGGTGGCAGTAGGGTTGAAATTAATTGATCCCCTTTTAATAAAAGAAACCATTAAGCATAGACACTTTCGGGAGCTTGCCCTTTCTGCATCTGCAATTACACATGACATGACATGGACATTCCATGAACGCATACCTAACATGTGAAAACATGCCCAACAAATAATTAAAAGAGAAAAATAATAAATAAACATGTCTTAGGCCTCCAACACGGACACTGCACGTATAAAACAAAGATCAGATGTCATTGACATTAACATATTATGTGCAATGTAAGATTTCAATGTTGATGAAAAGGTGAATGATGTTTTGATTTGACTTATTAGATTTTCCATCATATCTGTTGAATTGTGATCTTGACGATGCAATTTAGAATATACAGAGTATAATATTGGAAACTTTATCACTTATTTGCTTCTTCTCAAGAAAGAAGAATCAATATGCCTTTTCTACATTGCAATCATTAATTATCGCTACACTCCTATCAAATATATATTTAGGCCCTGTTTGGTTTACATTATTTTTTTCGTTATCATTCTTCTACTCATTTTCAATCACACATTTTTCAATAAAATAATATTTTCCATCACATTAATAATATTTTCTTCTTTTTCAACCATACATTCTCCATCAATCTACTATTGCAAAATAATGTGGCTCAAACACACCCTAAATATAGATTATTACTTCTTTAAGAGCCCAATGAAGACCNATGTGCACCAAACGGGGGCTTAGTTATTATATTGTTTGACATGAGCCTTCTTGTTTTCCTATATTTTTCGAGAACTGTTGTATTTTGTATTTTGTCCTATTTGTGTTGACAAAACCGTATTTCTGCAACATAGATATGAAATAGAATAGTTACCAACTTTGACTCATCTCTTATTTATGAGATTGTTTGATGGTGGTTGTTTTTAATTCAGAACTTACCGAATAAAAGAAAAACACAGATGCATGTACTCTAGAATAAAACTTTACAATTTTCATCTTTTTTGAAATAGAAATTCGAAAGAGATTTGCTGCATTCAATATTCCTCTTGTGCTATTATGATGTTCTATTCATTCTAATGATATCGTTCCTTGCAAAATTCGAAGGTCTTAGTTAAAATGCTTTCGGATTCAGTAAGCGCTTATACCATTCAGTGTGCCGACTGCTTAAAATGGAGGTTCATTCCTACCAAGCAGAAATATGAGCAGATTCGAGAAACTATAGCAGAACTGCCTTTCTGTTGTGAAACGGCTCGTGAATGGCGGCCTGAAATAACATGTGATGATGAATCAGATCTAGTAAAAGATGGAAGTTGGCGTTGGGCAATAGACAAGCCCAGTATTCCTAAACCTCCTCATGGCTGGCAACGGATTTTACGAATCAGAGCTGAAGGAGGCATAAGATTTTCTGATGTGTATGTTTGCAATTCAGTTATAATTACTTTTAAGGCTTTAAGCAATGAAAATGTGATTTTGACTTTAATTGAGTGGACTCATTTTTCTTGATAGGTACTACGTTGCTCCATCGGGTGAGAGATTTCGATCAATGGTGAAAATTCAGAGGTAAAATTCATCTCTTGATGGTCATAAACAGTTGCATATGTTTTTATAACTTGTTGTAAGATACAAGAATAATTTCTGGAGGATCCGTATCTTAGATTTCAGAATCTTTTATTTGTTCTAGTTATTTTGAATGTTATCTGATGTTTCCCTTTTCCAGTTTCCTGAATGAACATCCAGAATATCAGGGTGTAACAGAGTCACAGTTCTCATTTCTAAATCCAACACCAATGGAGGAAAATTATGTGCGAAAACGTCGTGCTACTTCTGCTGCTTCACATAAGATGAGTGGCGCTTTGGTACAAGGTCTGAAGTTTGATGCTTCCTTACTAAGATTCTAACTAATATTTTCTTTTATATTAGGTCTTTATAGTTAAACATATTTCCTTATCTATTCTCTGCCACGTTTTGTTTCAAACTCCAGTACCAATGGAGGAAAATTACAAGCGAAAGCATCGTGCTACTTCTACTGATTCACCTGACATGAGTGGTGCTTTAGTACCAGGTTTGAAATTTGATTTTTACTTGCTAAGATTTATAACTGGTCATATTTTATTTTATATTAGGTTTTTATGTTAAACATATTTCCATATTTATTCTCTGCCACGTTTTGATTCATACATAGTCAGATGATAGTTAGGCTTGATTGAAATAATTTTTATGTTAGTTGCTGCCACTCCCATATCTTGGGTTGCTCTGGACCAGATGATAGACATATACGTTGGGGAGGAAGGTAACTCTACTTCAGAGGTTGAGGCAGAGGCACCAGCTGAAAGTTTAGGTATTTTTGTTATTTGCCAGAACGCATGAACTGTTTCTATTGTCCAGTGACACGTCTAGCCTTCTTGTTTTACTTCACTTTAGAGTGTTGCCTGCCTTCCTTCACCAGTTTACTGTTTGCTCCTCTTTTCTGTGTGACATGAAACCTGATGTGGCATCTGAAATGTAAGGAATGTCTGCATGTCTATTTATTCACTCCAGCCATGCCATAGAAAATGGATATGTTTCACGTTTAAGGTTATCTTGTCATCTATTTATTACCCATATATATTTAGTTTTGGAAGCATATATTTATTGAAATATGTCTCCTTTACAATGGTCACTAGTTAGTTTACAGTTTCGCTTCGTTTCTTTTACTATAAAAGTGTGCCAGTCAGAATAATTAATTACTCTTCATTTCCGGGAATTTTTTCTATTTTATGTCATAAACAATATAAAAATCGAATTTATATGCAAAAGAAAAAGTTTTACTGCATGATGCTTGCTAAAGTTAAGATTATTAGACTTACCAAAGCCCACTGTAGAATAGAGACCTTAGGCCCAGCAAACTTGCACCGGTAAATTTTCCGTAAACAACTTTTTATTTTGTATAGATATATTTAGAAATGCAAATAAAGATTCCTTGACGTGCTTCATTTTACTTGTGGCGACGGTATTGCATATATGGCATAATTGGTAAAAAATAAGCTAAAATCTTGTTTTCGTGTCCAACTCAGTACATTTTAAAGAAGCAGTTGGGATAGCAGGAATGTCATTTGTAATGTTACTTGTTCTGTTTAAGAGAAACATCTCTGATTTGGAAATTTACTCAATATGATAATCTAACTAGCGTGCAATCACGCAATTTTTCTTGGTGCTTAGTTGATGCTCAGACATAGACTCTCAGATTAATTGCTAGGATTGAGGTTTGATCTTCAGATCTTTCAACTTGAACTGTGCATTGAGTGTCTCAAACGTATTAGAAATGTGACTATAGACTACGATGTGCAGCTGCATTTACATTTTGCGCGCTTTTTCCATGTACTGTTAGAGCTTTACTTTTTCCCGAGTTGCTTTAATATCTGGAATTATTCAGAGCTAATGGAGGTTTCCTTGTTTATTTTTTTAGGTCCGGGTGTCGATGATCCTAGTGCAGGAAGCGGATGTTGAGAGAATACTTCACAACAAGATGTAGAATAGTATAGTCAGTAGATTATAAGATGCATCAGTTGGTTCTTTAGTTCTCTATTCAAAATACTTTTCAAGGAAACAATGTAAAACTACAGCAGTATTTATCCTTTAGGCATAAGTGCTCCATTTGAGTCTCTGCTACTGCTTGTATTTTGTGCCTTTGTCTGAAGAAAAATATATAGAAATGTTTGAACAAAAGAATTGGATGGAATGAAAATATAGCAAGTCAGACTTCTGCTGAGTAAGAAATAAATGAAATATACTAAGGGGCTGTCTGGTGCAGCTTGTAATCAAAATTAGAGACGTTAGGCCGCAAATCTTGACTTCTTTGGTGAAAGAGTGGGCCCCAATTTTTAAAAATTAACGGTCAAAAAAACCCAATTTCCTTGATTTTAAGCTGTACCAGACATCCGCTAAAAATAAAAGATGATGTCACCACTTCAATTTATACTGTCTATAAATCTTAGAAAATCATACCTCGATAAAAATACGCTAATCAAGAATTGCCGTTTTAGAAGTAGAAATCCATTGAAACTTCCTAAAGCCATAGACCCGAATAGAAAATATTAATTTTGTCAAGTCACTATTTTAATAGAATTTTTAAATTTGTATCACACAGCTTGATGGAGTCAATGTCAGCTTGCATTGGAGAGGGGTTTTAAATCATGGTTTATCTGCACTCATGTTACACTTTTTTTGGGGAGCGTTCCCCCTATCAAGTTTTTTGACACATATTGAACAAAGATCTCAACTATTAATTCACACAAATTTAGTGTGTGTCTGGGCGCCATTTTCAAGCCAATTAAAATTGTTTTTCCATCCGTTACCCATCAAAGCAGCCTACATAATTTGACTCCTCCTCTCTCATTTGGCCCCCACTTATTGACTTTAACGGTTGGATTTACACTCAAAATTAGATTTAAATCTCCAGCAGACAGGCTCTTAATGAACTAAATTTATTTCATTGAAATACTCTAGAATTCCAATAGACGAAAGATTACGTCCAAAAGACGCTCTAGATTATTTGGATCGTAGAATTGAATTTCTTGGTAGTATCCCAAACAAGAAAATCTCCAGTATATGGGAGGTTCAGCGCGATCTTGTTTACTTGGATACTGCAATCTAGTGAAAACCCGGGATAGCCACAGTTTTGGAGTTGTTGGCCTTGTAATTGGAAAGGAAATTGCACTTCTAAGGAATTGTTCTACAGAAGTGAGTTTGGCAATGAATTTTTTTGCATTTGCTGCTATATTAAAATTGTACAAATGAATTCAGGTATCTTATATTATATAATGTGATGGCATGTTGGTTTTCAGATAACGAACATCAGTGTCCATGCATTTGCCTAGTGTTTATACATATGAAATATAACTAACTGGAAATAGACTAAGACTGTTTTATTGAGGGACCAATTGTCTATAAGTATTTTTAACTATGCAAAATTTGGGAAGGAGGGTGGTGTGCTTATCCTTTTTGGAGTTGAGGAGAACTACAGTAGCTGCTGAGATATTCGAATGGAGACAACTTCACCATCTTTTCCAGCCTTCATAGCTTGGTATTTGATGTGAAGACCTGCTTCCGAAAGAAAAGTAAATATATGAACAACTAAAAAGATACGACGCACGCTGAAAGTATTTTCAATTCAATCTAACTACCCAAACGATTTGCACAAAATTTAGCAAGCATAATGCTGCATGTTCAACATAATCTACCAGACACGATTATGAAAGAGAAAAATGTTAAAATTCCTGTTTGAAGTACTTCCACTGTTGCATATAATCATGCCCAATTAACTCGTTTAGCTCACTCATGACCATGGAGAGAACAAAGAAAAGTCTATACTTGAGGGAAGGAGTACCTTCATTTTCTTGTAAATTGGTTTTGACTGCTACTGCGTGCAGAGTTATCATAGCTTTTGGTTGACAGTCCTTTTGTTTCCCCACCCATGACTTAAGATCAAGAATATCTGGAAAATTATTCACAAATAATTTTAGATCTATTCTCACTGTCAGCTTAAGGTAATAACTCGTTGTGATTCTTAATCAAAATTGGAATGGCTTTATAGACATGTAACCCTAACACTAACGAAGTATGAAATCTTATGAGTAAATTTCTTTAGGAAATACACATTTATTGTTTGGATTTGACTACACAATGTGTTGTTATTGTTGGAGTATAGATCTACAATGGATTAGAACATTGGTTAGGAAAGTCAGAAAGAATACCAGAGGTCGATTGATCCTGGAGATGTTTCATATCGAAAATCCCACCCGATGCTCCATCAGCATGTTTGTTGATATCGTGGGATCCTAATGTCTCATAGCCCCAGCTCCCGTCCTGGTAGCCCTCATGCAGAAAGAGTTCAATATGCCTTGCATCTAAAGTCTGCATAGTTCCTGCATAGAAGGATATGACTTAAATCCAAATTCATCCAAACTATCACAATCGTACACAAAAAATAAAGCTGCGGGAACTGACTATTCATGGGTAGTTGTACTTGAGCAGGATGATAAATCAGAGTTCCCCGAAAATTTTTATATTCAGACCCCATATTAACCAAGTTTTTGAATCATGTAAAGCGTTTAGCCTATTGAAGCCCAGCTGGCTTCTTAGCTTAACTCATAGTTTCTGTTCATCATGTATTTGTTGCATATTTTGTTTATTCACTACTTTGTATCAACTAGAAATCATAAACTCCAGAGCTCGAAGAAGTAAGACACAGAAATATAACTTTCTTGTTGAAATTTCTATGAACAGAACATGCATGTGCTTACCATCGCAAGTATTCAGGTCACAAACAGGGCATCGTACAAGCTGTAAATCTGGAGACGTCATCAAGAGTTAGGGTGATTATAATTAATGAAAATATGTAAATGCTACAGAAAGTATTATCCGTAAAACAAGATAAAATTACTAAGTACCAGCAATCCAGATTCCGGCTTTGATATTATTTAACATGCAATAACCTTCCAACTCCAACATCTTCTCTATCTTGTCTTCCTTAGCAACTTTCAATGGGCCAATCAGCCTCTCAGTCAGGAATGCAGAATGTGAATCAAATAAAAATGCTCCAATTCGCATCCAATCTAATCATTTAGTCAAAACAATGAATAAATCAATCAGAACATTATGGATAGTTTTCACACACAAAATTACGAGGCTGAAACTGAATAGAGTGAAACAAGAAATCTCCGTAGAGATCGCAGTTAATGATTCCTTTAACATCCTTTCAGAATGCCCAGCTTGAAATTGAAGCAACTTGGAAATTTGGCAATAGATCACAGATAATCAGAATGAAAAATATATAACGAAATCTATGCTGTGCGACATAAACTAAGATTCATATTCCAATCTTGTCATCTTTATGAATAGTCAAATGCAAGATCTAAATATGATGCATGTGACCCGAGACTATTACTCTACTTGACGATGACAATTTCTAGATACGAAAACTAGAGCATTCACCAATATGCTTCTCCTGCTGACGGAACATGTAAGAGTGACATCCATCTGCAGAAATAAATCAATCACTCTATTCAGAACATAAAAATACTCAATGTAATATTCCTAAATAAGGAATTGAATTATTGAGCAGGTGAAAAAAGATACAGAAGATGAAATCTACCGAATGCTGTGGCATATAATTTGTTCCATTTGAAAGCAACTTTTCCCGGGTCAGGGACTTGAAGATCACGTAAACAGGCATACTTCCATACACAGTCCTCCATCATGATAAGATTGAACCATTTGCAAGTTGTAGCAAGCATCACCAAAGATACCCCGTCCAAGAACTTGGCAATCTCAATCCACACATCTTCTTCGTACCTTTTTCAGTTAATATAAACAGAAATACATTGAAAACAGCTGTAAACTTCATTGGAAATTGAACTATTTCGTCAAGCATATTAAATAAGTCAAATTTCAATGTGTTTATCAAGTAACTATTATTTCAAGCAAGGTTGAATTCAGAGTCATGGACGCAATATATATTGCCACAGCATATTTTGAGATGATACTGTCAATGATGCTTAGTAACTGAAAGATCAAGTAGTTCGTACTTAAAGACAAAATGTAGTATAATAAAATAATTCAATCTGTCAACAAAAATTTTAAGACAGCAATAGACAGAGTACTAAATTTATGAAGTGAAGCAGCTTAATCGTGCGCATAAAAAAACATAAATACCGAGAGACCATTGATTCTCAAATCGGAAAAGTATATATATATATATTGGTTTTAAAAAATTCTATCCGATTAGGCCATCAGATGAAGCTTTCAACTCTATTAAGTCTGATCGTGTTATTACTCAACAAAACCTGCAATTTCAGAGCACAAAATTAAAATTAAATCATCCTCGATTCTAGTCGAATGCTCAAAAACGTTCACGGTCACACATTATATATCTTCTCCATTAACAAATAAAAACACACACGTGTATGGGAAATTTCATTCAATTCTACGCTCATTTTAACTCGGATAGAAGCAGAACACAGCTTCCCCGATCCAAAACGAAATCCGATTTTTTCCAAATTAAGCCTCATTTTCGATTATCCTACTGGATCACCCACATAAACATGAAATCCATTAACACATGAGTAAATCTACATAAAATATGTAAGCACAAAATCTAAAAAATGCATATATGTATATACCAGCTGAAGAGGGAGTGAGGAGCGAGGAAGGAGAATCTCGGAGAGGTACAACAGCACATCTTTTTGGTTGTTCGTGTTCGCATTTCAATTTTCAGTGAGTGTTTTCTTCGAGAGATTTGAACTGTGAAGATATGGAGTAGCTTTGATCCAAATGTGGGATTATTTATACACGCGGGAAGTTTAGGAATTCAAATATTGTGAAGTTGTTAACGGCGTTTATTCAGTTCTCCGTCCATTTAAATAGATGTATTATTTTTTTTAGAAAAATTATTTAGATTTGTTTGATGGCCATTATTTAAAATTTTTTTATATATATTTATTTTTAATCATATATCCAAACAATAAAATATTTTGTACGTAAATTAAAAAAAAATTCCCTACATTTTAACTACACATTTTTCTATAAATCAATATTCAAAACATTATTTTTTTTCAAATTATGACCATCAAACAGGGACTTACATGCTTCAAGGATTTGAATTTTTTCTGTCGGAAAAGACTTTTAAAAATTAAAATTATGTAAAATTAAGTTTTAGAATTTCAGCTAACATGCTCAATAATCATTTACTAATCTTTAGAGCATGTTTAATGTAATTTTATTTTATTTTGGGAAAAGCAATTTTTTCAAGAATGTAATTAAAAAACTAAAAATAAATAAAATACAAACCAACCTTTAAAACTATTTTATTGAAAAAATATGTAAATATAATTAAGTTTTAAAAAATCTTTACCAAAGAAAACTTATAATCCATTTGACATGACTTTTAAAAAATCAAAAAAAAAAAAAAAAAAACTTCTAAGACCCAAAAATTGCTTTTAATCCTACTTAGTTAATTTTATAAAAATGTTTCTCCAAGTTAAAAGAACTATTAGAAAAAATTCAGTATAACTTCTTCTAAAAACTCTTTCAAAAGAAACATCTTTTAAAAATTAATTTTCAAACGTCAATTACAGATAATTTTCCTATAAAACTCTTTTATAAAAAGCAAAAAGGCCGCCGAACAAACATTTAATACATTTTGAACAGTTGACTATAAATTAAAGAATGGAGATATTGAACACTTGAATATAATTATAAATTGTTGTGACAGCAGCATCTCTGGTGTAACATTACTACAGCACCCTCAAAACAGGACATTCCTATGCTAAAGAACGCTATAGCTTACAAAAAAGTAAAACTTATTTGCAAGTGAAATTTGCACTAGAGTACAAGGAAAATTGAAAAAATTCCCACCATTAGTTCTCTGCACCTTGCAAAAAATTGAAATACGTTAGTTCAAGAATTTCCTGCAGTTTGGAGCTTGACATAAGCACGGTACTTTAACTTCGTCGTGCTCATCAGATTCAAACAGGTAATCATACCTGTTTAGACAACATGAGGACAGAATAGTAAAAAATCACGCAATAGATGCCAAAATGCGCCCCTGTTTGGTGTAACTTTAAAAAGTTGACAAAAATCAAGTTTAAAGTCAACGATTAATTTTAACCGTATATATTATGGAACCTAAAACTTTTATCAATTTTTTAACCATACATTTCATCAACTTTTATCAAATCTACTAAAAATCTAATTTTTAGCAACAAACAAGGGCTCAATTGAAATTCAAATGTAGGGTGGGGCTGGGAATGCATAGAGAGAGGACTAGTAGTCATACGTTAACTCCTCGCCAGCTGAAACGTCAATTTTAGCTACAAGAACTATCCGGCTCTCTTCATCACCTGTACTCATTATTCTCGCGTAACAATTGGGCATACACTGCAACAATATGCACAATGTTATATATACACTGACATAACTGTACAAAAAAGTACACAAATTTCGTGGACTTGCTGATGTGGAAACTATTAATTGTTTCTTCACTAATGAGCTATGACCAACTTCATTTAACATGTGCATTATGTAAGAACATGCTTATGCAGCTGCACGTGCGATTAAAAATTCCTGGAAGAAGTCAATACTAGTAGACTAAATAGATTTGATCCAATATGAGACGGATTGTCTTTCGTTAAAAATATGGTTCAGGCTGTTGCTCCCAAATATCACAACGTGACAACACTTTTCATCCAAGTCAAATACAAATGTACATATAAAAGACATTTTAAGAAAGAAACGGATAAAGAGCATACCGAGTGATTGATCAAGCGGCCTATGTTCCCCTTATTTGTGGCATCGATTACTACTTCCTCGCTTATCTTGAAAAGCTGTAAGACGATTGCATCAGATGACTGGAACGTCACATTCATATAAATGACTTCAGATAAATATAAGGCAAAGACAGTGGGCAAGAGAAAGCAAGGAAAACAGATTTCCTTATTTTAATTTTGCCTTCAAAAAATATTCTTTGGGTCAGATTCGATTTTTATTAGTAAAAACCTGCGGTTTCACAACTTTTTGTAAATGGGTGGCAGAAAGACTTGTAAGAGAGGGAAGCAAACTTGTTTATGTAAAATTTGTCTCCGGAAAAAACTTATCAGCATACATGGATCACAGACAAATAAATTGATGAACCGCATAGGATTAACTCACATAGCAATCTTTGCCTTCTGACCGATAGCGTGCCTCCCTCAGATCAGCAACGCTGCGCCGCACCTGCTCACCTCGATACTCAAAAACCTGGAGAAATAGTCGATGGTAAAGGTTATAGTGCTTAAATAACATTAACTAAACAAAAAGAAGAAAAGCACCCCTGACTCCAATACTCCTCTACCAAAAAGGAACTGTCTTCAATCTGTCTAGCATGTTCATATCAGAAAGGAACCATCCCCACCCCCCACGCCGCCACCACCCAAAAAAGAGTTTAAAAAGAAAATACCATTTCTCCTTCTTGAATGTTTTGCCTTGCAAAGAGGCCCCATCCATGTATTTTTGATTTACCAAAGCAAACCCGATATTTTTCCGTCCTCTGAAACATCATAGAAGAAATTGTTACAAGAGAGATCAGCACACATGTGCAACAAACAAGCATGCATGCGTTCATGCACACTCAAGCACCGAGAAATACACATCCACACAGCAAACCAAGAAACGAGCGCACACAAAACAAACTTAAATCATGAAGAGAAGTTATTTACCTGTAAATGGCTTAGTCGTTCTCTGAAGGTTGAAAAAACCTTTCCAACTTCAAATTGCTGAACAAAAACAGAGAGAGAGAGAAATAAGCAAATAAGCCATCTGAGAAGAAAAGATAGATAAATAAACTTAATAAAGAGTAACGAAAATAAATAGATATTGGAAATAAGGATTTGATGTTGCGTGTCAAATTTAAATTAAATAAATAGAAATGGAAATTTCAGAAACAAAAAAAGAAGGAATCTATTACGTTGTGTGAAGTTAAACAATCTATAAAGTCAAAAGCATGACGGCTTGGGCCCATCGGTCGGTGGAATACTGACTCTTGTCCGGCTCTCTGCTCAAAGGTCATGAGAATAGACAGAGAAGTAAAAACATAAGCACAAGCAGATGTGATCAAATGGACAGAAGAGAAGAAAAAGAGCAACGAATAATCACCAAGAAAGGGGCCATACAGAATAACATGCAAACCGAAAAAGAAAAGTGAAATTTTAATTTTACTGTTGAGAGTGCTCAGGAAGTGAAAATTAAGACAAATCAAGAACATTACACTGCACCTTTCTCTTTGATCGTTTGAAAATGCGACACCTTGCAGCAGACATGGGATCGATTTCATGAGTATCAGCAGGCAATGAATCAAAGCACTCAGCAGTCCTAGATGAGATGAGCCTTGAACCACTCAAGCACTGTTCTTGAATCTGGTTTTGAAGTAAGCTTCCGGTTGAGAAAACCCCATTGGGAGTCTGTATGACCAGTACATTCTCTGCACTAGGCATCCTAAGACACCAATCAAACATTTGAAACTAGGCACTTAAAGATTTCCGAAAATTTGGACTTCATAGAAAATTCGAAACAATGCAAAACAGAAATACAGCTGAGTTGGTATAACGTCCATTCTTTTTATATTTAAAAAAAAAAAACACACACACACACACACATAATGCCAACAAGCTAATCCAGTAGAATTCCTTGAAATTTATCCTGAGTCCATTGTGGACCTTGATTAGAAATATGAAGTTTCTTATACCACATATAATCTATAGTGACACCAGTGTGAATCCCAAAGAAAAATAAATAGAGAAAATAAGACAGGTGAAATATTATGCATACCTATGAACAGCGCAGTATGAGACCCATTTGGTTATCTGTGTTCCATACTTCTCCTCACAATGTAACTGAATTTTGCAATGGAACTTACGTGAATAAACAAATAAAAGGAAGAAAAGGCATAAACATAGTTGTTTTGTGTGCCTGTGTTTCTTTTCTCCAAGTGGACCAGATAAAACAAAAAAATCATCACAAAAAAATTTTAAAAAAATACAGATATCAATGCATAATATTCATTAAAGGGTGAGATCGGGGTTCTTAATATTGCATACACTCGAACCTCTTAAAAGAAGAATAGCAACAAGACTCAAATTTATAGAAAACTAGTCTTTTTTATGGTTTGTTGACAGCAGAAAAACCAACTCTACAGTGGTAACTAAAGCTTGATTTATTACAAATCAAAGGGACCCAAAAATGATACTCTTGCTATTTTAGTCCCTTTTTTTTTATTCTTTAATCACTTCAATTACCTGTACATTGAGGTATTATAAATTTAATATTAACTGCAGAAATTATTACGAGTCATTACTTCCCTTGATTTGTAAGCAAAACTGATAGATTATTTCCAACATTTGTTTTTTATTCAAATTGGTTTGTAATACTGAGACATTTTTCCAGCTTTCGTTTCCCATGAGGGGTGTAGAAAGATTTTGAATAGGCCAAATATGAAAAAAAATTTAAAAACATTGTCTCAATGAGAGACTAACAATTTTTTTTCCAACAATCCAGGGCTACAACTGATTTCAAGTGCAAACTGTTGGACATCTTAAATGATGTGCTCACAAAATATTTCAGTCTGTATCCAGACAAGCAGTCAATACTGTCTTCTGATACCTAACAGAATTATTCTAAGAAAAGAAACCCAGGGACATTTTTTTCCTTTCATATGGACCAGTTTCCAGCCTCTTTTCTGTCAGAGAATAAGAAAATATTTCAAAAATTATTGTTCACTCGGTCACATTCACAGGTGAAAAACATTTCACTAAACCAGAAGCAGATCTGCTGTCAAATGACAAAGAAAGTCAGTACTAATAAGAAACCCTACACCAGACTTATTTACAGGTGTTAAGCTGTATATAATTTTCGTTTCTCCTTTTTCTCTTTTTGTGTGAGCTTGGGGTCCTGGCTGATATCCTGGTGTCTGTCAATATGGTCTAATGCTCTTAGTTCCCTGGGCAACTCATTTTAAATGAAAGAGTTACGAGTAGCATGCAACTTTATACAAACGCGTGTAATCAAGGCCAATATTCAAACATATCACTATCATAAAATTCATTATATGACTGGTAATACAGAAATAAAAGAACAAGAGTAGACACGTACTTCCATGCGATATCCAGCACGAAATGCACACATTGCATGAAAATAGGTGGCACACTTGCAACACTGGGTGCAAGACCCATGAATCTGATTACAAATAATGCATGCCTGCAAATTTACAAAATATAAGGACTCTTGCAGATACCAGAGAAATTAATTTGTCCGTAGAAAAATCTTATTTAAAACAAAACCATTCGACTCGAAAGTCAATTAAGCCAAAATTCCAAACATTCATAATCATGCCATGCCAACCATGGACTTCTATTTTCTTGTCAATTGACAAACTTTAAAGAGAGAAATGCAAGGAAAAGAATCTGCAAGTGGCCAATTCATTAATATCCCCAGTCTGATCTATGAACCACCTCATACCTTAGCAAAGGAACTTGCCGGAATTCGAAGAAGGCCTGTTGCAGGCTCCATCATCTCTGCATTCGAAAAAGCAACTTCTGGCCGAAACCATGCACATGTGACATGAACCCATAAAGTTCCAACATCAGTTGGCTTTAATGCACCACCTACAGAAGCAGCATTTCATTACAAGAGTAAAAGGTGATGAAAACACATTTGTAACTCCAGTGAAACGTGCAAACAACTTGCCTTTTACAGGACAGAGGCAACACTCTTTCTCAACCTCCGGGGTTTCGCATGCTCGACAGACCCATGAAGCAAAATCCTGAATATTTCTAGCCCCATAGCATTCTTGATGTACAGCTATTTGACATCTGAACCACATTAAAAGGATCTCTCAGCTTAACATTATGAAATGCTAGGAAAATCTGGGCAATATTCATCAGTAATAGAGTTTCAATTCAAATGGCTGTACTATGAGTTATGAAAGTATAATATTCCAGATATTGACACCTGTTGCATATTATCATTTTGTTGTAGTCCCAATCTTCAACCCATCTACAAATAGCACAGCGTTCTGTTGTCCACTTTGTATATACAGGTTCATAGTTTTCTGTCAAAGTAAATATAGTAAGAACACTGGGTTCTTAATTGGTTAAATGTACCCACATGACAATACGAAGAAAAATAAAATATGTAAAAGGATTACCTTGTAACAAACCAAACAGCTTTTTCTTATCTAAACGAAGAGGATCAAAGCCATGCGCATTGTACTCTACAATCTACAGCATCAATGGTAGTAAAGAACGTGAAGAATAGTAAAGAACGTGAAGAAAACAGAAATATAAATGTAATTAACAATATAGCTCCAAGAAATAAAAACATTAGTGTCAGCTTATAGTTTCTCATTACACAGAAAATACTTTAAGTAGGAAAAAAATATAGAGCAGCAAAAATTTATACATTATCTACATTGTCTTCCACAAAGACGTAGCAGAATAAGAACAGATTTAGTTTAATTCAAATAAATTTGGGTCGGCTGCATGAATCATTTTCCACAAGATTCATGTCATAAGACTAATTACAGCACACTCAATAAATAAAATAGATAAGAGGCAAAGGGAAAAAGGGCCCTTACAGCCACACAGGGAAACTGCAATGGAAGAAAAATGTTTACAGAAGGTCATCACTAACTATAATTAATGCATAATTGTATGGTGTATAGAATTTATTCACGTTCTTATTTTTTAGAATTCCATGGTTACCAACAATCATTGGCCTTTCCTATCTTTAATTTATCTCAACATACAATAAAATGAGAATATGATTATAAACTTCACAAAAATCTAAAATTTATGGAATTTCTGATTCCGAGGCTGAACAAAAAGTGAAACTTACAGATTTATTTCAATGAAATTTGAGTCCCTAGGAATGGGCTCTTACACTGATATTTTTCATTTTTTCTAGTAACAAATTATATTTTAGTTGTAACAAAGTTCCCTTCACTGACAGCATAGCATGAAAACAAAAATACAATAGAGCAAAAGATATAGTGAACCACAGAAAGTGACAGTGGTTTAAAACTTAAAGATCCTATACATACCCATTTTTCAAGTGTTAAATTTGAACCCTTCACTTTAACACTTGACTTCCATTTTTTTGCTCTAGAACCTGTATGTCGCTCCCATTCACTAAGCGATTGTTTCTTTGCCCCGCATGAACCACACCTACATTGAACCCTGAGAGGAAGGTTGAATGGAAATCAAATTGTAAGTTTCTATAAAACCCAAAATAATATCAGCATTGCATCAAATTTGGCAGTAATGTTATGGTACTTTAAAACTTTATCGTCCCGACTGAAGATAGTGCTGGTTAATGTTTTTGTTCCTGAAGATGTGTTTCTTCCTAATTTGTTTTTCTTTCGTAGTTGAAGAGAACATAATGAGTCATTAATGAAGTCATCAATGGAAATCCATCAGGCACAAATCAGAAAACTGGCTTGGAATAACCTTTTGACTAAAAAGCAAAATGTACAATGAAACATATCATCTGAACCAATTATCACTAAGCATTTCTAATATTGATTAAAGCACAGGTGATGTATCTTAGTAAATTTAAATAAAATTAGCAATTGAATGTTATCCTCATAATAGAACTATTAAAAACTAATCTGATAGGGAAACCACTATCTCAGGCAATGAAACAATATCTTCTAATTGAATAATTTGACAAGAAATTATTCTAAACCATCTGTTCTCTTGTGCCAGATTCATAATTAGATCCAGCCTTGATTTTTTTTTCTTCGTTTGGCATAAATGTTCCCTAGTTTGAAGATGAAACACTAAATTGTATTGAATAATATACATTTGGTGCCAAATAATTAGAACATTTTACAAGTTAATAATATTTGATAATCGATTAACTTTCGTGGTCAAAAGAAGTGAAAAAATAAATATTTAGTATCATCCAATTTCATTTCATATTCCTGAACTAGTATTTCTTCAATCCAACAATACAAAACCCATATAAGTAAATGCAAGTTTATTACATTTATAAATCAAATAATATAATAATTTAACATCTACAAGTTTCATTATGATAAGCAAAACAAAGATCAACCAACTGAACAAGTTGACATATTTGTTCATATCTAATATGATATATGTAACTTAAAGCTTAAATTGTTTTGTCCATATAAAAAGAATAGAGTACGGCTGATAGGAAAATTTTTCTATCGTGAGAAGAAAACATTCTTTACAAAAGCACTGAAGGTTCTGATAAATTTTATGTATTACAAGACTTCAAAAAGGCATTCTACATAAATAAGGCTATTATTATTATTAATAAAACACAGAATAGTATCAATCTCTCTCTTTAACAATGATTAATTAATAAAGATAGTCGTATCTAGGTTATTCAATGGGACCTCAAATATCTTTGCCCAGAAGTGCATGATATATGTTTAATCACTATGGATGACAATATCAGCTACACAGAAGCTTAAATTTATTCTTCCAAATGTTGGTAGCATTGTTACTTTGATGAGACTCAACTTCTATAAATATCAAATCTATATAAAGTGCACAAGCAGATGGGCAGCATTGCACATTGCCAATTAGATCGTGAAACTAAACAACGAATATTTTTAAAAATTCAGGTCTTACAGATGAAGGCTTGAATAATAAACGCCTTCCACGCCATTGCAGACAACAGTGATCTTGTCAGACGGAAAGATGTGTCCAGAATTCTGGGCAGACCTGATTAAAGCAACATGCAGAGAGTTATACAAAATTAAAAAATCAGTATCCCTTGTAAGCAGCATAATAACAAAAAGAAATGGTGTGCAAAAACATACCTAACATCAAATTGCTGTTTGTCCAAAATTAAAGAGTCAGGGGTAGATTTTGCTTTGCATTCAGGGCAGAAGTACTTCACCTTCTCCAGATGCTATAAAAGATATAATATGGTTATTACATAGTGTATATCATGAAGTTGATAATAAGCAAATGTGGTAACACCATGAAACTCTTAATATATAAGAATTGTAGTCAAACCTTTAAAAGCTCACTGGAAATGTTGGCACACTCAGCATGTACCCAAACATCACAACCATCACAACATACCTACCCAAAGATTTTGAGACAGAAAATGCACATGTTCATTTAATTTGTTGGTAAACAAGAAATGCAAAGTAGAAGTGAAAATAATCTCACCCAACTTCCACCATCAGAATGGTGCCAGATTTGCTTGCATACACCACAATATTGTTTTGATTTCCTTAACTGAAATAAAATTTCAATCTTCCAAAGTAAAATAACCATCAAAAATTCAAAAATAAATAAGAACTCTATTAATATATAGATTGCAAAAGGAGAATGGTCTGACCTTAATACAGTGCTCACACAAGAAATAAGCTTTTGCATCTTTGTCTTTTATTTTCTTCATAGTTCTGCATGGAAAAATCAGTCCACAGCTTTCACAAGGCCGTGTTTCTTTTCTCTTATCATTTGAATCCTGAGAAAGACAATATATGGATAAAGTCGAGTTCCATTTCAAAAGAATAAAATTAATTATTTGAAATGCTCTCCGAAAATGCTTGAACCAAAACTTTTTCATTCAATGCAATTTTACACTCAGGGCAATCATCAGTAACCCCCCCAGTCATGTTTTCTCCCTACAAATTTGTCATTATATTGTAGTATTTGTTTGGTAGTGCTTATAGTTGTGGGTCCTACGAAATGTGTGGACAACAAATATATTTAACCAGCTTAAATTAAAATTTTAGCTTTGCCAAACATGCACGTAGTGTTGACATATCAAATAAACACAATAATAGTCTTGCTTATCCCACGGTGATTATTTCCCTCGCTGTTGATCATACTCTTAGAGATGTAAAAAGATCTCTTACCCAATCATATTTCCATGACTCCCACGCCCCAAAAGTAGGGAACACGAAGATTTAGGAATATAGGTAAAAAAAATGAAATCTACAAAAAGTAAATAACTAAATGAGAATAAAAGAAGTGATAACATCTCTCTAGCTTGTAGATACAAAGTTCTGGTTATCAGTAACTTAATTGTTTCAAATCCTAAGAGGCACTGGTCAAGTGGAAAAGCTGGAAGCGACTGAAATAAATAGTCTTCTTCATAACACTACTCGTAATCCAATTTGCACATTTAGGTAGAATATTTGGCAAACCTCCTCCAAACAGTAAGATCTAAAACACAAACCTCGAAAACCAAGAAAGCAATGGAATATCATGGCAAGTAAGAATGTGTTGAATTGTAACTCGTACTACTATCATTATAAAATATAACTAGAAAGTTATTCCTGTTTAAGCCTAAAAAATTTAGTTTCATGAAAACCCACCTGCTCAATGGAATAATATTTTGACTCCTGATTTAAACCAGTTGCCTGTTTGATTTCACTGGGTTCTGTCCCAGGTAAAGTTTCCTGCACAGTCTCCACAGAGGGATTTGAGTAGCCACTTTCAGCTAGAATAGCCTCCTCTATAGCCATCTGGAAATCTCTAGGTTTGCTGCCATACAACTTAGTCTGCCCCTGAAATCTGAACAATGAACATATATAAAATCCCGATTCCAGTAACATAGAATGGATTTGTCAAAATCCAAAATTATACGCACCTGTCCATGTACTCGTGAAAGGGAAAAACCATTCCAGCTTTTATCCACGCATAATCCTGTATATAACAGTAAAAGGAAAATCGTCTACTCTCACTATTGGCCAGAATATTTAAGCGAGCAATTTTATGAATTTATAAATGCTAATAACAGTTAAAAGTGATGTCACTGTCACATCCAGTACGTAATTTATAACTGCTCAAGGCATTCTTCAAACAGTAACATATACATATATCATGCCATACAGTAAATAATATTTCATAATCAACTAGCATGAATGCACCTGCAAAAGATGAGGAAGTTAATTACCCTCTGTCTACTCTTTGAATAACCATAAAACATCACACACAGAGTGCCTGGAACACAAGCCCTCAGAACAGATTCAGGTGCTTCCATCAGCGGATCAATCACAGTAGCTGGCCAAGCTGGGAAATTTTTACCGCATTTGGCCCAAACTATATCCCCCAATACAAAATCTTCAGGCTGATAAAAATCAGCCTTCTTTACAGTCTCCTTTTCCTTGACCATCTTTTGCACTCCCACAAATCCATTCACCTCCCTCCTTGAATGCCCACCAATTTCCACCACTGGCAAAACACTTGAATGCCCTTCGTTAACTGACACCACTGAACTCCGAGAATTCGAATACATTTTACTGCCAGAACTGTCTCTATACCCATATTCAGTGTTCGAGTGGGGTAATAAACTTGTATTATGCAATCGGTAGCCATGTTGATCTTCAACTTGCTGTTTCTTGACTAAATATATTTCATCGTTGTAAAACTTGTGATGCTTTAGTTTCTTCTTACTATGAATCCCACTGCCCACATTATCTGTTTCCGAAGTGCTACTTCCATAATCATCATTCTCAGATTTTTCTTTCTTCCATGAATGCAAAACTGAGTCATTGAATTTCGATGGTAGTACCTGTGAACGCCCTCTAGAAGACTTTAACAGAGGAGGCTTATTAACACCCATCTGAGTCTGAATTTTAGTCTGGGGTATTGAGTTAACTTCACCGGTGTAGAAAGAAGCTCTGGTGGGCAAATTGTTCGGGAAATTAATGCTGGACCCTACAAATTGGTTTACAGGAACGGTAAAAAGCCCATTGGTTGTTTTCGCCTTCTTGGAATTAACGGTGGAGCATGATTCCCCCTCATTCTCACCGGAGATGACTTCCTTTTTCTCGGCTTTACAACGTTTGAGGTTCGGCATTTCAAATTTCTTCATCTGTTTCACGATCATTGTCCCCGTATCAGAGGAATTCAACCATAACCAACCAAAAAGCTGAAAAAACCCTAATCCCTCTTTCCAAAACAGTTAATTTGGAAAAATCAGGAAAATTTATTCCAATCACCTCCAGCAAATCCAACCAATTATTCTCAATACCACAGAATACTTATAATTCTGCGCGAACTTCCCTAGTAAACCTAATTTGAAACACGGAACAACAAAACCCACGAATTTGAAACAGCCAAGTTGGATACGACGACAAAATAAAAGAATAATCTACAAAATCTCTTGGATCCTCAACAAGAATTAAAGACTTTGCCGTCAAAAACGAAAAAAACCCACCGAAAATTGAACAAACTGTCGAGAGAAAAAGATGAGGAGAGATTTCGTGAATCCCAGAGAATAAAGTGCTTTCTATACAGCTTGCGCCAAAAAAATTAAATACATATATGTGTATAATATGTATGTGTGTATGTGTATCGGAGTTTGAATGCCTGGGTCGAAATTGAATGTGTAATTATCAAATAATCGCAAAATAGAAAAAATATAAGGATTCAATTGAAATTTTGGGGTGTGGTTTGGCTCCAAGATTGTGGCGAATTAGGAAATTTTGGGAGGGAGAAGAGGGCGAGGGTGCGGGTGACGCGCCAATCCCAAAATTTTTGAGCCGAGGTAGCATATAAATTTTGTGTTACCCGTGGCGAGGTTTTGGTGTAGCATATCACGTGTCCTAGTTGGATTGGGTGTTCTAGGAACGTGGCTAGGTTGAGTTTTGTGTTGTGGACAAACTGCAACGCACGTTTGATTTTGGATATTGCAAGCCAGGACCTCAAGTTGTACTTACTACACACAAGGAGATAAGAGTGTGGATTATTGAGCATTGTTTGGTATAGTTACAAATCAAGTTTTTGGTAGATTTTGATAAAAGTTAATAAAATATGTTATTAAAATTTTGATAAAAGTTATGAATTTATATGTGGTTGAAAATATTTTTTTTAAATGTGGGATTTCTCCTCACGAACCTCCATATCCAGTTAACAAATAGTAGATCTGTTATGATTTCTTCACAAATTTGAATTTTTTCAACACAATAAAAGAATTCTTTGTTTAAATATTGGAATATTAAAGTTAAAAACATGTTAACCATCAATATTATAAGCAAAAAATTTTGAATTTAATCAAATAAAAAGAAGAAACCTTGAATATGGAGATGGAGAGCGAAAATACTTTGAAAAATGGTGATGGAGATGGAAAAAATGAAGGAATATTGAAGAACATGAAATGTTAAGAGAAATTTTCAAATTTATAACATTCTTCAAATTCTGAAGGTTCAAAGCGGAGGTAAAATGGGTATTATGATTTCTTTAAATTTTTGACCTTTTTTTATACTTAAACCTGGTCAAGGCTATTGTGAAAAAGTAGTTAGTCAACAAGCCATCTACCACCATTTCCTCATATTAGTTTTGTATCTCTCGTATTTCAATGCGAGCACATGGCCAACTCAGCAAGAGCTCTCTATTTATTGAATTTTTCACTTATTCATGAATTGCGCGTAGACGTCAATTGCATTATAAAACTTTCTTTTACACTTTTTCAAAAAGTAAAATTCGCGATTGATCACATCTCTCTCTTTGGACAGCTCCAAGTGGATCGCTTGTTTACAAACTAGTGATTATTATAGCTTACGAACTATAACTTTTCTCTCAACTTGCTTCAACGAGCAAGGTGTGTGCATACACACATCAACAATTTTTATCTCTTTAAATTGCTTTCCTCTCGTGAAGGATAAAATATTTCACCTCTTAATGTGCATTGGCTAATGAAACTTGTTCATTTCGGAAATGAATGGGCAAGTATTTTTCAACTATCTATACATTCGATGACAATAAACAAGTTTGTCTTGTCATTGTTCTTCCAAACCAATCAATCTTCATTTATCGGCTCACATGACTATCTATCTACAAACTTGTATCCCAAACTATCTGAATTCTAAGGCAACTGAAGTGCAAAGCATACCATTTGCGAACTGCAGTATTGTATGTAATGTACAATATGGGTACAAGACTTGATGTTACTCATGGCACAAGTTTTCAAGTAGAGTAGTTGGCTTGAAATTTCCAAATCCACTATTTTCTCGAAATTGTACCTTAATTCCTGAAGTTTGTAAACTCCTAAATTGACCTCAAGCTTGCGAAATTCACTGTGCGTGCAACTTTTATTAAATTGCATATTGGTCCTACACTTTTAATATGTTACAATTAAGCCCTTAGTTTTCAATCTTTAAATAAATCATAAGTTCACTGTTCACCATTTAATAATAATTGGAAAAATTCCAATCTAATCCTTGGGTTCTCAAACTCTAAATTTCAAGCTATACATGCTATAAGAGCATTACAACGCATATTCAAAAATATTATGTTGATTCCTGAATACTATAGTGTTTATAAGAGAAAATGATTATTGTTTTACACCAATGACCACGTCATATAAATAAAAAGAAACCTTCAATTAAAAAAAAAAGGTTTATTTTGTAAATTATATTATATCAAATTTCACTAACCGTCCATGCGGCCATCGAGGTCTTGTGCCCTAAGGCAACTTTCTCCCTTTGCTTGGGCCGGAATAGTCCGAACAATTGGCACATAGACACACTTATGAGTGGGATGTTAGACAATATAAGTATACATTGGCATCATTAGTGCACTATTCAATAAATATAGGTCACGTATCTATCTATTGAAGACCTTATCGTACTGCATAAAGAGAAGTACACTTGGTATGTGATATTGATATGTAGTGCAAGCTAGTGTCGCAAGCTCATTGTGGAATATGCATTTTCTCAATCACAGATGGTTTTATACTAAAAGAGTGGATTTTATTGGTTAGAAAATATATGCCATGCTTACTAAATACAAAGAATGGAAAATTTAGGTAGAACTAGTGGGGTGAACGTGTTGCACATTAATTGGTTAGTGTTAAAAATAAGTATATGAAGAAATGATAGAATCATGTGGATAGAGCATCGAGCGATAAATAACAGTTTGATGTATAACTCTCAACATTTACTCTCATTTATAATAAAATGAGTGATTTTTAAATATATCTTGAACAATTCAGTTTAAAATTAATCATATTTTGACTTCTTTCCACCTTCGAGTTTCACGAAGTCACACACCACCATTATCGGATTCCCTTTTGAATGGGACAAATGGATATGGAAAGAGAACTGTATTTTGTTATCTTCATTTTTTTATTACTTTTCTATTACACAAATTATTGACGAAACAAAAATTAGTGAAAACAATATTAAAACAATCTAGCAACCAATTGGCTTTCTTTCCGTCACCAAATATATATAAAAACACGCCTGATCAGAAAAAATGCATGAAAAGTAATACGAAAAGTATAAGATAAGGCATTTTATCGACTTAATGAGATAATATATAATTGCAGTCCATAAGAATCAAAATAAAAAGAATAATGCAACACAATAATCAGTATCCTTGTTTCTTTACTTACATATTGAAGCCGTTAGCAAATCAAATTATCATGCTCATGTGTATTAGTATGTGTGTACTTGGTTATTTAGTTATAAAGATTTTTACACGTGATAGAGATATTTTACAATTGAAAGTCAATAGATTTTTGTACAAAACAGTATGGGCCTGGACATCCTCTAGTCGAAGTAGTTCCTCATTACCAACAGTAAATATGGTAATGGCAGAATTCACATTTATTTTTTGTTAAGTTACAATATATTAAAATTATGGCAACTGAGTTATCTGAATTGAATGCATACGCTACACAGTATCCTCTACAATCTGTTCAAGGAATTCAACATCAAAGGGATTGGCATGGCTCATAATTTTTGCAGCTACTGATGTTGAGTTTGGACTGGATCTAGAAATTTTATGCCTTGAGAAGAAGATGCATTTGCCAAATTATGAAAATATTAAGGATGCGAAAATCATGCTTGGAAAACCTAAGAGCATTATGCTTAGAAGAGAAAAGAACTACACTATTTAAAATATAAGAAATACTTTGCTTAAGGCCTCTCAAACGAACCATGATAAAAGAGTAGCATTTTGATAGCAGTAAGCAACTAATTTCGTTTTATTATTGCTAAGAACCTGTAACCCATTATATGTAGTAAACTATAAGTATCTATGTTAACCTTAAATTAATAAACATGAAATTAACGAACTTTCCCCGATGAATCTCTTCTCTCAAATGTGACAACAAATTTTTTTCTTGAAATGCAATTTTTCTTCATTGCTTATAACCCCCTACAAAAACACTTGTACAATTGGATCTAACACCTTAAGTAAAAATTTCTATTTATGTTAACAATAAAAGACACAAAGACATAGAAGACAAATAAAGCTGAGGAACAAACAATAATGTGGCATCATGACATGAGAGCGGGATAGCACTAAAGTCTTCCACATAGGGGTTGAAAAGTGAAGAATGAAACTATGCATTGCACGTGTGTCGACGTAAAAACATTTAACTCCCTACCAAATAACCAATATGCAACTAATGCAGCGTTTGTAAGCATTTCTATGATTGATAAGCAAATGAAGGGTAACTACATTCGACAAATTCATCAATCTGAGCGGCTTATGTATCACTGACATATTTGTTCGTGAAAATGTAATCTTTATTTCTAAATATGTATTGTAGATCAGTACCCTGAGTTGATGTGAAATATTACGATAGGCGTTCTAATTTGGCATCTATTATAAATATTCAACTACCAGTCAGGAAACAAGCAATGACTATAGTATGCCCTTAGTTTCATGGAGCTAACTTTGCCCAATCATTTGCATTCAAAGAGAAAAAAGTAAATAGAAATATAGAAGTATGATAAGGCAATTACAATGTGACATTCACATTATCATTATTGTAAGAAACTATTAACATAAGAAAAATATAACGATGTATAACATAATATTCTTTTTGAAGATTAACAACGATTATTGATATAAATGATACAACATTATAGATGCATA